TTAGGGGTTTAGGGCTAGGGTTTAGGAGTTTAGGGTTTTTGGTGTTTAGGGTTTAGGGGTTTAGGCTAAAGGGTTTAGGGGTTTAGGGTTTAGGGGTTTAGGGGTTTAAGGTTTAGGGGTTTAGGGGTTTAGGGGTTTAGGGGTTTAGGGCTGTAAAGTTTACCCTGGTCTTCAGAGAGCCCTTAATTAAGGAAGGTTTAGGGTTTAGGGTATCGGGTAAGGAACTTGCCTTGAATAGGAATAAGATCCCCTACATGATGGAGAATGATGGAAGGTATATACGTTGATCCCTAGTGATGTTGGAACATCTGGGTAAAAATCCCTATACTCCGACATCCTTTGCCACAAAACCCCTGATTGATTCCTACGCACCAAAACCGTCTTGCAACCCGTATGGGCAACCCGTATAGAACCCTTAATAAACCCTAAACCCTAAACCCTAAAAACTATAGAAGTTTCAGTTCGCAGGGCTTCTAGGATTAGGTTGGACGAGGTCGGCTTTCTCTTTCATTCTTCTCATGGGCCCCGGGATCCACCCACTCACCTCGTAGATACTTTGGCCTTGAAGGCCTGCCTATATAGGTACTTTAGGGTCAATTGAATTCTACTATATGATTGTATGAGTACACGGAGGGACTCACTTCATGTCCCATTCGTGGGAAAACAGCCCTAAACCCTAAGCCCCTGAACCCTAAACCCTAAACCCCTGAACCCAAAACCCTGAACCATACACCCTAAACCCATGAACCCCAAACCCTAAACCCTTAAACCGTGAACCCAAAACCCTGAGCCCTACACCCTAAACCGCGGAACCCTAAACCCCTGAACCCTAAAGCTTGACCCAATTGGCACTCCTTGGAAACCGTACCTGTGTTGAAATGTACCCTGGCTTAAACCCCAAAGTCCCAAACCCCTGAACGTTAAGGTTTAGTGTTTAGTTGTTTCGTTATAGCCCATTCTCCGTCCGCATGGTTAGAAGGCCTGGTAGGCTGAGGCTGTGTGTCGGGAGCCTTGTTTTCACCACGAGGGGATTCACACCAGGTACCGCTATCTTCCCCATACTTCCAGGCCCCCGACCTTACCCCTGAGCTCAGCTGGGCCAAGGCTTGACACAATCTTTACCAGTGGAGTTTAGGGTCCATGTTACACAGGGTTTAGGGTTAGGGTTTAGGGCTTCGAGGCTTAGGAGTTACGGTTTAGGGGTTAGGGGCTAAGGCCTGGATCCCTGAACCCTAACTTCCAGAACCCGGGAACCCCGAGATCCGCAAGCTCTAGACCGAAAATGACTTATTAGGGTTGCTTTTCGGGCTCCTCTTAAAGGGTTCTACAAGGGCTGACGTTGGCCGAAGGTTTTAGGACAAGGGTTTCGGGCTTCAAGTTCAGCGGAGTTGCCCCTAACTCGAAGTTTAGGGCTTGCGGCCTGACCCTAAACTCCCTATACCCTAAACCGGAAATCCTAAACCGGAAACAGGGGTCTTGAGGGCTCGGGGTTTTGGGTTTAGAGCGGGGGGATCGAGGTTAGCTGCTTCCGTTGTCTGAGGCTCAAACCCCAAGGGTCCAAGTACCCAATAATCATATACTCTGCCAAATAACCATAACTGCTATCCGAAACCTAAGTATCTTACTGTCGGGTCCTTTGGACCCTTAGGGAAACCTTCTTAAGGGTTCAGAGACAGTTTATTTCCTTTTTTTGGAGGGAGGTGGAGGGGGACGGAGAGGGGGGGGGTTCAGGGTTTAGGGTTCAGAAGTGAAGGGGTTCAGGGCTTAGGGGCGCAAGGGTTCAGGGCAGGAGGGCTGAAGGGTCTAGGGCCCGAAGGTTTAGGGGTTTAGGGGTTTAGGGTTTAGGGTTTAAGGATGGCACCCCACTGTGCTACGAAATCCCCACGGAAGTCTCCGCCTCCTCTCCCTCCTCTGAATGCATCATGTTCATATGCACCTGAAGACAGCAGACGGACTCCGACGGGCTTCCGGGCTAGTGCTTGGGCTTTAGTAGGTCTAGGGCGTAGGGTAGCTTGAGGGTTTGGTGCCGAAGGGACTCGTGGACTGTCTAGGGTTTGGGGCGTAGGATTTAAGCTTAGGCTGAAGCTGTAAGGTCTAATTTACCACGTTTACGGCTTATTAATTGTAGAGCTTACCCGTAGGCCCCATAGTAGTTCCTTTTGGGGGTTCATATTCAGATCTATCAGGTAATCCTAAAAAGGAACTAGTGTGGGGCCTATGGGTAGTGTTTAGATCCGACGCTTCTTCCACGGTTTTATCATCACTTCATCGAACACCTCGGCGTCTCAGGCCAAGCTTCTCGGGGTTTAGGCTAATAGGGTTTAAGGCCTTAGGGTATGGGGCTTGGGAATTTGAGTGCGCAGCGCAGGTCAAAACTCATTCCACACCATCGCCGCGTGGCTGAGGGCATAGGAGGAAGATTGTTAGACATGGAGAGCGCAGGACGATTTGAACAGGAGCATTGTGTGGACACTCTGTAGGGTTCAGGGTTTTCGTGCTGGGATCTCTCTCTCTCTCTATATATA